CTTGGGGTCTATAGCGATAGCTAAATTAAGTGCCCAGACGACGACTAAATCTAATCAAGGCAAATAGGATGAAACTGACATTCGGGTTTTTTTATGCGAAATGTGTGAATTGCCTCCTATCGATTTCATTACGCCAAAAAGAGGAACAAGCAAATTTAATTAGAAGCGATCCATTCGATTATCTCTCCTCGTTTGACCTTTCCCGAGGCGCCTAACGTAATTCGATTGACCAAAAATTGCCGATCGAGACCAGAGTAGGTTGTGGGAAAAAAAAATAATTCCCCGTCGATGGGACGCGGTCGGAGAAATTAGAGAAAATTATGGAAGACGAAGGCGGGCTTGACTTTTTTAATTTGTTAACGTAGGTTTCGATTTATATCGCGCTGCCTCCTCTGCCAAATTGAGCTAATTGTTATATGAACAAAACGAACATGTGCGCTTCTCTCTCGGAGAAATAAACATCACACGTGATAAATTTTAGGACTCAATTTTTACGAGTCCTCCCACTCATATCCTGTCCGTTCATTACAGTGGCGAACATTAAACAGATCCGTACCGTTTTAAAAATATGCCCGCGAGAAAGTAAAAAAAAAGTAGCGCGATTTTCTACGAGGTTTAGAAAGTCGCACTTTGCAATATCGTTTACGCGAGGGTGTCGATTACGCGCGTCCGTAACCGAAACCGCCCTATACAATTACAAAATGCGCAATTATTGACATTTTTTTTACAAAAAGCAAAACCGCCTCGAGCAATGTCATCATCATCTCAACCTTCCTCAATAAGTGCCAAGTGGATTACGTTCGGAATAGCAAATGCGTGCTATTTCCGATTATGGACATGGTCACTTCCGTTTCTAAACTACTAAAGTATGGCGGATGGCGAGAGGTTTTTGTGGTTAAAATTGCATTGGTTTCCTGTGAATTAGCCTCAGAGTCCGATTTGTCTTTGGATAATTAACGACCAAGTGACAACATTAGGGTCCCTTCTTGATAAATTAAATTATAGCCTCTTCTTATAATTAAATTTACTCCTACTCGAAAACCACGGTGAAGCTGAAGTCGAAAATTTCGATTAATTAAATTGTAATAAAATTAAAAATGATTTTCTAGTATATTTTTAATGCATGAAGAAGAGGGTTTATCGAATCTAAGTGGATTGTTTGATAATTGACTAAAAAGTAATCATTTGGTAATCATAATTAATTAATTGAAAAGATTCGATGTCGATTATTTCTAACGATTATTCCAATTTATAAATTGTCTATTCGTAGTTCCTAGTCCGTTAATACATGGGCTTGTACTTTGTTAACGAAAATTAAAAACTGATCCCAGTATAAGAAAATTACAAAAAAATTCTACAGTTTCCAATGTTTCAAAGCATATTTGACACATTTTTTCAAGTTAAACGTAAGATGTCTAGATGATATTATATTAAAAAAAATTTACAAAATTCCTACACGTTTTCAAAATTTTGAAACGTATCAAAAATTCCCTTTTCTCAAATTTCCCAAGTATTCTGAAACACATTCGAATATTCTTAAACATTTCCAACATTTTTTGCACATTTTTGATATATGTATTTCCAAAATCCCAACACTTCATTGAGGTTAGGTTCGATAACTATTTTACCTGAATAAAGAAACTTCTGTGTCTCTTTCAACTAAGAAAATATGGGGTCATTCTGAAATTAACAATGTTTTTATTATCCCCCGTAGCTCTTTAGCGAGCGAATATTTTCAAATTTTGATTTTACCATTTTAAGTTTGGCCCAAAAAAAGCACATGGCGCCTATGTTAATTTTTTGATAACACCAACAATCACGTACATACGCTGTAAAAGTATAGAGAATGGAACACCCTGTACAATGTTCTATACCTAAACTGAAGGGTTATAGAAAACATTGTCTAAGTAACTTATATTTGGGCTTCCCTATATACACATGAATATACTATCAAAAAAACCTCATTAAAAAATAATAATCGACGGGCTTAGAGAAAATATAGAATGATATACATAGTGTTCCATTTAAAAAAATGCAATTTTGGTGTACCACGCCTTTATGACCAACCCTGTATAATTAAACTTATTACTGCCTAGTAGACGAAGAACCCCAAAACTTTTGTATACAATTTTTTTGGTATCTTGTATATTTTCCTCGAGAATCGAACGTTTGCAGACTTATCAGAGACCCTGTATATTGTATAAGAATATCAATATAAGATACAAATCCATATTAAAGTTATAAAACAGTCAGGAGAAATCGTTTGTAGTCTCTGGAACTCGTAATCTATGAAATTCTTGGGCAGTCAATAGAATTCATTTGCACAATGTGATGGTCAACAAAAGTAAGTGGTTGTGATTTTTTAGGAAAATATAACGGTTACATTACGTTTGAATTCCATTTCGGATATTTTTTATTTCACTGACATACTTCCGGAAGCTTGTAAACAAGACCATGAACTGTTGTACTTCAAAAGCTCGTCAGATATGACCAATGTGAAGTTGGTAACATTTCGTATCGTTCACCCTGTATATTATATCATATTTATCAAAGTGTTGTAGTGACATGTTTCTATCGTCGGCCATTTTTATTGATTGGTGTCCGTGAACTACAGTTAACAAAACACAATCTGCATGAATCCATGGCCTACTACCTAAAAACAGTAAAAAAATAAGGTTACAATCAAAAAATCAATCAAAATCAATGTAATCCTGCTAATAATGCCTAAATGGAGCTGAAATTCTAAAATATTAGTTTGCCCTTGTCGGTAGTGGCGGCTGGAACATCACCCTAGAAATTAAATTAAATACCTTCTATCTTTCGACATGGCACTTGTAACGAAGCACCCAACTTAAAACGCTTCTAGATACAGGGTGTTCATCTACAGAGTGATCGGTAAGACTTCAAGGTGGAAAATGGATGCTTCGTTACAAACCACCCCGAGACCATTACTAAGAGGTACCCGCGTTTCCAAACGGATAAAGCCAAAGATTAGGAACGATCGTTTAGGGGGTTATAAAGATGCGGATCCGGGATCAGGACGATCGCAAGCCCTATCGTCTTTCTCTTGAGTTGAGGAAGTTGCTTGGTTAATGGATAACACCTTTTGAAGGAGACTTTAATCCCCCTCCCTTCGTAGGGTGTTTCCAGAAAGTCCACTGAATGGCAAATTTTTTTTTCGCAAAACCTGACTGCGCATAAAGGCAATCTACAGGGTTATTCTAAATGATGGACCCAATTTAATAAATTCGTATTTATTTAAGTATAAATGCAAAATGAACAATCTACATACCAATGGAAAGAGGAAGTTTCAAAGTTTTTTTTACATATTTATAAATGTTCAATATGTCCCCCTTGTGCGGCATGGCAAACATCTAAACTTTTTTA